GGTTTTAAAGTGTTTTCATTTGGGGCCTGGAATTCATCTGGGATACTTACTCACCACTGGTATTCATGATCTGCTTTATTGTTAATTCTTTCCTTTCTAGCACTGGCCAAACCACCTTTTTTCTTACTTATCCCCTCTTGTTATCTTTACAAATTCTACATTCACTTGAAGTTTCAGTGCAGATGAAAAAAGTCTGCTGCTCACTTGTTTTGTTAAATTGACTCAGCTGATGGCCCTGTTCCCTGTTTGTAACTGACAGGGGTCGTTGCTCCTAAAAATGCAGATTTGGTTGGATTATGCTACTACTAGATGTGCAGCAGGAACTAGAGAAAGGTTTAAACAAGACAGGCTAGCTGAAATTGTAGCAGGTGAGTGATATCAAGAGAGGGCAGTCAGTATCATAGTGGGAACATTTTTGCACTTTGTGGTTGTTTTTAGAGTATGATAGTTATTCTGTCTTCCCAGTAAGTGTGTTACAATTAGTTCTTTGAAAAATGGGGTGAAAAGGTAATTTCTTCCTGTTTTTAAACAATTAGGTTTTTCGTGACATTTTCTGACTCACTTTAGCTGCAATGGTGACTGCAGGAGTGCAACTAGCTGTTTTGGGAGGACATGCAAGATATCATTTTGGACTCCCTTCTTTCTTGGCTTACCTCTTGAGCATTACTGCTTAGCTAACGTTATTTCACTCCATCTTTTCAGTATATTAAAGATCAATTAAATAAGTTTGCATAGTTTTAATTGTGCCTATTATTTAATTTAAAGAACAACAAAAACAGTGATGTTATTTATACATGTCAAAAACCAGCATTTCCCAAGTAAAATCAAATGTCCCATAATTTAAATTTGAGAGCAGTCACTTGCATTGCTTAATATCACATAAAATAATCCACTAATTAATTTGTTGAGACATACATACTGTAACCGGCAGCATTAGAATACTTACAGTTATAGTCTCGTGCATCTTGTTTTCATGCCAGTACATGTGTCCGAGACTTCTGTGAAGGGGGTGCATTGTGCAAGCCATTTGCTTTTTTGAAAGATAGCGTCCATTCAGTGTGGATGCTATCTCGCATTTAAGCTGTGATTACTATGGACCGAATGGCCACTTGGGCACCTGTGCTTTTTCCTCTTTCCTCTTCTTTCGAAAGAACTCCCTCTTCCCCGTCCACACATGTCTTTTTCTGAAAGAGCTCATTTGGAAAAAGGCTTCTTCTTTGTGGAAAGAGGTTTACCAATGTCAGAAAAACCCCTGCGTTCTTTTGGTTTTTTTCCAATGTCAGAAAAACCCCTGCGTTCTTTTGTTTTTTTTCGAAGGAATGCAATTGCGGTGTGGACGTAAGTGAAGTTTTTGTTTTTCCGAAAAAACTCTGTAGTGTAGATGTGGGGGCACAGGGCAGGAGCCTTTTGGGTGTTCAGGAATAAGAACAAGAGGTTGGGGATGGGGGCTCAGGGCACGGGGATGTAGAAGTGCTGGAATCAGGGCAGGGGGTTGGGAGGTGTAGGAGTGAGTGTGGGGGAGCAAGCATGCACCTTTTCATTTTATTTTCCAAAAATAAAAAATTAATTGAGTTAATGATCTGGGTTAATCTTCTAAGCTATGTCTAGACTGGCATAATTTTCTGGAAATGCTTTTAACGGAAAAGTTTTCAGTTAAAAGCATTTTCAGAAAAGAGCGTCTAGATTGGCACAGACGCTTTTCTGCAAAAGCACTTTTTGCGGAAAAGCATCCGTGGCCAATCTAGACGTGCTTTTGTGCAAAAAAGCCCCGATCGCCATTTTTGCGATCGGGGCTTTTTTGCGGAAAACAAATCTCAACTGTTTACACTAGCGCTTTTGCGCAAAAGTTTTGCACAAAAGTGACTTTTGCCCGAACGGGAGCACCATAGTATTTCCGCAAAAAACACTGATTTCTTACAGAATGAGAACCTTGACTTATATTTTTACTTGCACAAAAATGTGCTTGAGGTTTGGATGCTCCACGAGTTTTTGCGCAAAAATGGCCGTTTTCCCACAAAAACTCTGTAGTGTAGACATAGCCACACTGTAAGGACCACTGCATAGGACAGTGAACCACACTAGGTGTGTGGGTTACATACTGGGCCGGATTAAGCGGGGGTCTAGGGCACCAACCTATGGGTTGTCCAAGGTCACATATGCAGATAATCTCTATGTTGGTGAGCTAAATTGTTTCTGATGGTCACATTGCTAGCACCCCATTATAGCTCTCAAGACTACAGCCAGTTCCACCCAACTACCATTTCCAAATGGGAAATAATGGCAGACAGATTAAGCGGGTTGTCCAAGGTCACATATGCGTAGTCAAATCTTCAAAACTGACAGTTTTTGCCATTGTTGCCTCTTCACATATGAGGTCTTGGGGATATAATTTTAACCAGTGATTTAAAAGTTTTTTATATTTTGAATTCTGAACATCATTGCCTCAGTGATTTTCATGGTGGTAGTGCTCATACTTGATGGCCTTATTTGAACCTTTTTGAACCTGTGCAATCTGCAAGATATTTGGTTTTATGGTTATGACCATACTGTTGAACAAGTGAGCTGGGTCTATATTTACTCAATAACTTCTTTTTTTTTTCACCATTCTAATTCAGCTTTTACTTTTTCTCTTTGTGAATGGAATTTTACATGTAGTGTGTCTTTTCTGTCCCTAATCACATCCTGTATCAGGGTTACGAAAGACTGTACCCACTGTCATGTGACAGTGTACTGTAATTCGGGCACTGGGATATTGTTCTAAAGGAAATGAGGTGAGTTTTACAATACATTTTTCCAAAGAGAACTGTAAAGCCTTTTTATTTTAAATTCAAGACACTACTAGAAACTAATGTTTAGAAAACCTCTAAAAAATCCGACTTTTAAGGACTAGGTGCTTCTGTCTTGTGAACAGTAGGAAACCAGGCTGGTTGGATCTTTGCAGAGAAGTATAGAATTGGACAGGATTGGCCATGTACTCCCATTGCTGCCAAACCTGTGTGGAAGTTCCTTCACCGCAACCACCAGTACTCCACAGATAAGAGGGAGTTCTGTAGATATGGGAGGGAAGGGCCAGGAAGAGCTCCAACCCCCTGCATGCCCCTCTGCAGATACCATATTAATACTGTATCCAGCATGATGTATCAGTCAGACATGTCCATTTGAACTTCAGAGTGCAAAACTTTTCCTGTAGCCTCTCTGTTGAGTTTCCAAATGGCTGCTTCCCCAGCTCAAAACCCAGAAATCAATTAACTTCATGGCATCATTTCTCCCAAGTTCTATCCTGCATATTCCCCCAAGAATGTAAAGAAGTAATATGCCCAATCTGCCTGCTTCCCCTAGGATCTAAAAATCTACCTAGGTGTACCAGGACTGTAAACCATAGGTGCTTAAAAGCTTAGTTCTTCTCATGTCAATATTGGTATATATTCCAGTGCTATATGACAATAATTGTTAATGCTTGCAGTGCTGCAGGTGAAATGGAGAATTCTGAACTCAGAATTCACCTATTAGGTAAAGGAGGAAAACCTTGTTGAAGCATGTGTGATTTTTAAAAGGTGGATGAGCATCTACATAGACATATGTCCTATTAACAATTTGGCCTATTAGCCACTTCTATTTCTATTACTTTAGAAAGCACTTTAATTTAGCTTTAAGAATTACAGAGGGGCACAAATATATTTTTAGTTGTAGTGCATATGTAACCAGTGCCGGACCGAGCCATAGTTGCATCCTGAGCAGCGGGTGCACGGCACATGTGCGGCCCAGCCCTGGGTGCCCGACGCATGTGCGGCCCCGCCCCCAGGCACGTGGCACCCCTTACCACTTCAGTCAGGCGCCCCCCATAGGTTGGTGCCCTAGACCCCCGCTTAATCCGGCCCAGTATGTAACCCACACACCTAGTGTGGTTCACTGTCCTATGCAGTGGTCCTTACAGTGTGGCTATGTCTACACTACAGAGTTTTTGTGGGAAAACGGCCATTTTTCAGCAAAAACTCGCAGAGCGTCCATACCTTAAGCGCGTTTTTGCACAAGAGAATCAAAAAAACAGAGGGGTTTTAGTGCAATTGGTATTCCTCTTTCTACGAGGAAGAACACCTTTTTGTGAAAAAGTTCTTTCTCAAAAAGGCATATGTGGACGGGAAAGTGCTTTTTTTTGCACAAAAAGAGGAAAAAGCACAGGTGCCCTGGCGGCCATTCTGTGCATACCAATCAGTGCTTACTTTTGAGAGAGTGTCCGTGCAGTGTGGACATGGCTTTTTTGATGCACTTTTGCAGTGTGGACACACTCTTGTGCAAGAAGTTTTTGCAGAAGATCTCTTCCAACAAAAGCTTCTTGCACAAAAAGCCTGCAGTCTAGACATAGCCTGAGAGATAAGGATGAGAGAGCTCACTCAACAGCCTTCAAAGAGAGCCAGCTGGCTTAATTGTTCAAGCTGTAAAGGCTTCTATATTAAGCACCAGAGGTTTCAGGTTTAGATTTGCTCAGTGGTGGTTACAGGTATAACCAGCTTTGCTATAGAACATTTGAGTTCATTTCATACTGCTAAATTTAAGAATTTATTTTCACACTGTACATGCTGTTACTTTTTATATGTTGTTTTCCTGGCACAATTATGTCCTGCAGTAGCTCTTAATTACTGTTCACTCTCATGAATTATGTCATTTGCAATTGAAGATTATAGCAAAGGTGTTTTGTTTAAGTTCTGCTACTGTCTCTAATATTAAATATTTGTTTCAGTATTTTCCTATCTTTTAAATATTTAGAAAATACTTGGACAAGGTTTTCAAAAAAGAATGCCCGATGTTAGGCTTCTTAATCTACTTTTTAGGATCTAAGTGACCCTGTTTTCAAAAGTGCTGAAAATGTGATAGAAGTTGGGCGTGGGGCCTGAATGGGAAGCTCTCTTTTTGAAAATCTTGCCCTGGATTTCTTGGTAAAACTAAAGCAAAATCTTACTTTTTGCCTTGTAATACTGTGTGCACACATCTGTTTTCATTAGGTGGTGCCCATGAAGGTCTTCAGCATTTGGGTCCCTATGGCAATATCCCAAATATTGTGGCTGAGCTGACTGGCGATAACATACCAAAGGATTTCAGCGAAGACCAAGGCTATCCTGACCCTCCAAATCCCTGCCCAATTGGAAAAACAGGTAATTCTAGAATATTCTATATAGGTTCCTTATTCCATGCTCATTATCATAGTATCAGAGTACTTTGCAATGGTGCATTAAGTCAGAGGTTCTTAACTTTTTGACTCATACCCCACCTATGTATTTTTTGTGGTCCTCTCACTCCCTTTCAATAGTAAAATGTGTGGTGCATGGGGTCAAAATGTCATGCCCAGCCAACCCTCTGTCATGACTGGCAAGTGTAGGTGTGTTTTCAGGTGCCCTAAAGGTAGAGATGTGATGGGGCTGTAAGTCAAAGGGGACTTCAGGACACAGGTGTGGAGAGTCCTTCGAGCACAGGTGTGTGTGGGATGCAAGTGACTGATGGACTCTGGGTTGTGCAAGACCTAAAATCTTGGTTTGTAATTCATTTGATAACAGGTTGGTGGCAGGGTCCATCACCCTCATATAAAAGTTATAGTACCACACTCCTATTCCTTCAGTCCTCTGGGTGGGGTGATGAGCCCTTGCATCCTACATCTGGCTCCAGCTTAGAGTCTCTTGGAAGCCCTGTGGAGGAGTTGCAATGCTGGGGCTCTCCAGTCCCAGACCTGCTCCCTGCAGGAGGCACAAACTCCATCCTCCACCTAGCACCACTCACTGGGGCCGCCAGACAACCATGACAGGCAAAGTCCTCAAGGTCATGCAGGAGCCATGTTGCTCTGAGGGCTTGGCCTGCACCACTTCGTGGAGGTTTAATGGCACCTGAGTGAAGTGTGAGACCAGCATCAGAAGGGCCAAGCCCAGATAGTGGCACTCAATGTGGAGCCAGGGAAACAAGCAAAGCAAGCCCAGTGGGGAGCCTAGTCCTTAACTGCAAAGATCCCCAAGTTCTTCATTGTTCACCTCTGCCACCGTCTTCAATAGGCCATGAGAGAGAGACCAAATTTTAGTTGGTGGTGTTAATTACTGAATTATTAGATGACTGACTCTGTATTATGCACTCATAAGAAGTTTGACATGCCCTGCAGTTGAGTACCTATGCATTAAGCATTGTAGTTAATATCTAACACATTCTCTCATCCTCTCCCCTAAGGGGGAAGTGTGAGCAATGGGGTGTTTTTATTTTGGAATTTATTTACACACACACAAACACATACACACACACATCTACACCTACTGCAGATGGTAGTGGGCTTTGTGATGGTCCTTAGTTTTGGGGGATGTTTGTTCCACAGTTTTGGAGGGTGTGTCTAGACTACAGGGTTTTTTAAAAAAAAGTGGCCTTTTTTCGAAAAAACTGTACCTGCGTCTAGACTACCACCGCGTTCTCCTTGACAGTAAATCGAAAGAACGCGGTGGTTTTGTTGATGGTGGTAAACCTCATTCTACGAGGAATAATGCCTTTTTTCGAAAGTCATCTTTCGAAAAAAGGTGCTATTGCATGAAAACGGCTTTTTCGAAAGAGCGTGTCTAGACTCTCTTTCGAAAAAGCAAGCTGCTTTTTTGAAAAATCTTCTTGTTCTCTAGATGCTCTTTTTCAAAAGAGGCTTTTTTGAAACATACTTTCAAAAAAACCTCTTTCGAAAGAGGCTTGCAGTCTAGACGTAGCTGGACTGGCCTCCAAGAAAACTCTATTTCCTGCATGAGCTTTACCTTCATGATAGAAAGTTCCGTTGTGTCAAAAAAGCAACATTGTCAAATGTGATCTTCATCCTGGAGTTTTAGCTGATCCTTTCAGTACCCTGGGCACAATTCATGTGGGTTCCTACTTCTGTAAGGAGCAGATCCAGCTCTTATTAAGTGAGGTGCCCAAAGGACTCCAGCACTTAAATCATTAGCTAAACTCTGTTTGTTTGCAATAGGAGCTGAATGGACTGTATTGGGAGTGAGGACTATATTTTTTAAATTACATTTTAAATTTCTGAACTTAGATGTATTTTCATAATTGAGAAATATTTTCTGTGTAGTATTTATTAACGTTATTTGAATAAAGTACAGACAGTTATCCTTAATCTTGTTACCAGATGTTCTGACTAGCTGTAGAATTGTTTAGAAAAGAAAAAAAATCATAAATATTTTTGCAACTTTTTATTTGATTATTTGTTAAAATTCTGAAAAATTCCAAATAGCCCTAATAATTCCTTTATATGAAATACACTCAGAGCTCCTGTACACAGGGTGAGGGGGGTGAGGAGAAGAAAGGATAGTGATTGTCTGTTTTTGAAATAATTCATGCTCTTACTTGACTATTCTGTAACCCACCATCTAACATCCCTAGTGGAGATTATGTCTACTAGTATCTTAGTAGAATGGTTTTTGGGGCCTTAAGTGGAAACTCAAATCTGTGTCCAAGTGGTGACTGTTAAAACTATATTAAGCAAAGAAATTACTAGAAAATTTCCTCATTGAGGTTTGTGGATTTGTTAAATGGAAAACAAATCCTTCTGAGTTATTGTTTGTTTGGCAACACTGGCATCGATCAGTGCTGGAGCAAGTCTCTCTGTAGCTGTGAGACAAGGCCACCACAGGCCTGTGACAGCCCCATCCCCAGTTTGAGGTAAGGATATTAAATATCGATTGATTAACTAATCAAAGAGTTAATGGGTTCTAGAGGATTCTAGAGAAATTTCTTGTGGTAGCTATTAAACGGCACAAAAATCTCTTTCACATGGGGATTTTTTTTTAAACTGGGAAGAATACAGTGTTTTGTCTAAAAAAATATTGTCTGTGCCCTTGATTGCTTGTGATGCTGATGGCAGAGGTGGGAGGAGGGTAGGAGTGGAGGAGTGGAACTGGAAAAGCAGTAGATTTAACTTTCCAGTGGGCTGCCTTTAAAAAAGACTGTTAAAAAGATTAAAAATACCCCGATTGAGTCTTTTCAAAGAGAAAGCTGTGTAGCATCTACAGCACCCCAGTTTTGTAAAAATGTGTATAAAATAACTGAATTTAAGAAATTTTGCAACTAAATATGAGTTGATCATAGCACACTTTGCAAGTTTGTAAGCAGTCAGTGCTTTCTTATTGCTTTTTTGCAGCTGATGATGGGTGTCTAGAAAATACACCAGACACTGCAGAGTTCAGTAGAGAATACCAACTGCACCAACACCTTTTTGATCCAGAACATGACTATCCCAGTCTTGGCAAGTGGGTGAGTAAATTATTTTTATTCATTTTTGCTGAGTGTTAGAATGACTCCTGGATCTGCTAAATGGTACCATAGCGTTGTAAGGAACAGGCTGTGAGTTTCCTTCTCCTGAAAAAGGAATCACTTGAAAGGAAACCTCTTAAAGAGATGTACCTACTCCTATTTAAAATACATCAATATCAAATTAATGGCAAAAAAGTGAAAAATATATTACTGATCAATAGGCAATAAAAATTACAGAAAATAGAAGCTTCTAGTTTATCACCTATCCTAAAGCGTGATGGTTATGTACTTGTTAAATCCAACTACCCAAACAGATCATATTCAGATTATAAGACACTGGCCACCAAACCTATTTATAGCATTTTTTAGCACAAAATTTCAGATCATAAGTAAAGACCAGGGCCCAGGTTTTTAAAATTATCTGGTCAATGATTAATTTTACATTCAAGGTGGAAAGCTGAGATCTTCAAACGAAAGTGGGTGCCTAGTTCCCAGAGGAATCAAAGGTGCCTTAAATACCTTTTAAGGATTTAGGCTTATGTGACTTAGACAGCTCAGTCCCATTTTCAAATATGACATATGCATAATTGACTCTTAATGAGACTTAAGAGCTTAAATCACTTAGACCTTATAATTCTGAGCAGAGTAATTCCCGAATACCTTTAAAAATCCGGGCGCAGGAGACAAGTCGTTGGAGATTATACTATTAGCTAATGGTCATTCATGACCAAATGCAGCTACTCTTGGGCATGCTAAATAATAACTTTCAATATTACTATATGCAGAGTGATTTCAGTGGACTACTCATGGAGAGAAAGGTATCATTCAGCATCCACAACGGTGGCAGAATTGATCCCTTCCAGACTGAGTTTTATTATTCATTTCACTGAGGTCAGGATCAGGCCTTGAAATGATCCAGTTGAAATATCCTCAGTCTGTAGCTTCCCTCATTTAAAGAGACTTTTTTTCCAATAAAATTACATTGAGCCGAAACAGTATTACAAAATGAGTTTATTTTTTTTGGTCCAAAATCAGTTTTTAAATGAATCCTGAATAACAAATATAGCAAACAAAATAGGGGCAAAATCTTGCTTTGTGCATACAAGTAGTATAATAACTTCAGTGAGATTACTTACATGAGAACACAGGCCAGATTTGGTCTGAGGAGAGTTCTGCTTCTTAATCTTAAAAGACACATTACATCAATCGGCTGTCTAATACCAAATCCAATGTAAGACAACAATAGCAGGTCATGACTAGCACTTATAGAGCAAATCAAGACATCTCATACATAATTGTAACTGTTTAGTGTAGATAATCTTACTCAAAACCAGCTATGCAGATATGGATAAACAGACGTGCTTGGCAGTGCCTCCTCTTGCTGTAATCATGAGACAATGATACATCATTTAGAATCAGCCCAGCTTTAGATTTATAGCCTTAATTACTTAACTTAAATGATCCCTAAAATTCTAGGCAAAATCAAGCCAAAAATCCAAATATTGTAGACTCTTAATGCAGTCTAAATAATTAGCATCAAAGTTGTAATATTAAAAACACCAGATGGTGAACTAAATACACTGTTTATGCCAGATAACGTTGTTAGTTTTCTTATTACTCATAAGTAATTAATTTTCATAATGCCATTCTGAAGACTATAAAAATATGTCTGCAAGTTTTTGGCCTATGACAGCATTTCTGGACCAGGGTACATCATATTATGTTGTCACTAACAACTTATGCTAAATAAATTGTGGGCAATCATTAGTTAATATTGTAAGATACCTTATCTTGAGCTTTGGTGGATTTTTTTTTAAAGTTTTCCATCAGTTACTATTAATTCAGGGAAAAAAAACTTCCCACATATGGATTAAAACAAACTGTTTGCTTCCTGACCAAAATTATATGTGGCAGCAGGAAAGCCACGTCCAGATCTTTTTAATTAGAAATGAAACAGCTGCTAATATCCATGAACAGCTGCTAATATCCATGAACAAATATTCAGTTGAGATCCAAGATTGTTGGCCCAATTGCTTCCTCATCATACATTGCTAGATATTAAAAAGAGTAAGAAATACAGTAATGCTGCTGTTGAAGAACTATAGCAAAAGGGCAGTCTACAAATTAGCTAATTGAGATTTTTTAAAATAACAACCATGTGATAAGGTGACACAGGGCCTTTCAGTTTTAGGTCACTGATTGGAATCTGTCTTAGATATGAAGTGAATGAGCAAAATAGGCTGTTCATAGACGTGGATTATCTAGTAGATAACTGTAGTGCACCCATATCCCTCTCACTCCCTGCAAACTCTCTCTCCAAAACAATTACCATAGCTACCTTTAGTTGATGCATATGTTGGCAATTTCAGTCGAGAGGCCAAGGACTGACATGAGGGGGGGGGGAGGGGATTGTATTATTTTAGATCAGATTTCCCCAATTGGTCTGTGTGACTGGAGTAGGTAAATTTCTGTAATTAAGAATCACTGTACCCAGTGCCTATAGCATCAGGGTGTCTTCTATAATATAGCTCAAATGTGGCCATCATTTTAGGGAAGGGATCACTGCCTAACCTAAGCCCCTCTTGGGATCTTGACAGCACTGGGTCAGCGACCTACACTGTTTGTGATTTCACAGGTCCCAGAGCAAACAGCCTGTATTCCCTTAACATTAATAGTCAAAGCTGAATTTGCAGATTAAGTAATGTTGACTTGTTTAGGAAAGAGAGGAAAGAAATAGATTTTTTTAAAGAAAATAATATACTTGAGTATTATTGTAGTTATTGAACTTTGTAACACCCGTGTGTGTGTGTGTGAGAGAGACAGACTGTTACTTCAAGTCTGAAAACATAATGGCTGTGTCTAGACTGGCCAGTTTTTCCGGAAAATCAGCAGCTTTTCCGGAAAAACTTGCCAGCTGTCTACATTGGCCGCTTGAATTTCCGCAAAAGCACTGACTTCCTATTGTAAGAAATCAGTGCTTTTTGCGGAAATACTGTGCTGCTTCTGTTTGGGCAAAAGTCTTTTTCCGAAAGACTTTTGCGCAAAAGGGCCAGTGTAGACAGCAGAGTTTTCTTTTCTGCAAAAAAGCCCCGATCGCGAAAATGGCGATCGGGGCTTTTTTGCGGAAAAGCGTCCGTGGCCAATCCAGACGTGCTTTTCCGAAAATGCTTTTAATGGAAAACTTTTCTGTTAAAAGCATTTCCGGAAAATCATGCCGGTGTAGACGTAGTCACTGTGTAAAGGTTAAATAATGGTAGCAATAACTTCCTAAGGAAGATTTGAGCCATATTGATATAGTTCAGTTATATTTAATGGAGATAAGTTATCATTGATGGCATATTATTATCAGTTCATGTATAAGCATGTCAGTCCTTTTTGTGTGTGTCTGAAATGGAAACATGCATAGATTGACTTGTTCACTTCCAATTTTTATAGTGATCTTTATGCTTCAGAGGATAAGAGATTCTAAAAGACTGCTGATTGTATTTTTCTTGCCATGGGACAGATGCCTGAGGCTGGTGAGATGCCTGAGATCACATGAGTTTGGTGATTCCTCCTTAAGCATGTATCTGCTAGTGCTGAGATCTCTTACCTTCTGGCCAGAGAAACTTCGCTTTTTCCCCCTTTCTTCCTTTCTGATTAAACCTTTTCTTTTGCAATAGGGAAATATTTTCCATCTGGATCCAAAATCTCTTCACCCCCTAGTTTCTCTCTCAAGCTGGTGATACCCATATAGAGAGGTGCATGAGCTGTTGCTGGCAAGCAAAATAACTTCCATTACAATTTACTCTTTCACATAGGAATATTTCTTAGACTGGCTGACTGCAGAAGTTTTAAACATGCTCATGCTATGGAGTATAGCCAGAGGCAATAGAGTATAGCCAGCCTATCTGACTCATTCTGATACATGTGGAGAACTAAAAAACAATGACATTTTTAACAACATTTCTGTATATTGAAGCAGGAAATAACATAAATTCCCATCTCTAGGATAGAAACAGTGCTGGTTTAGCTTATCAGTTAGAGTGGGTGAACCAGAGCCAGTTAAAAAAAAAGAGAGAGAAATGATGAGCAGGAGCATAAGTGTACCAGAAGATCCAGACCTCAGCATGAAAGAAATTGCTATCCCTGATCCTTAGACCTTGTTGAACATCGGTAGCTAGCACTTTATGGATTTCTATTTGTACTGACTTTTTTATATTTACTTAATATTGAAAAAGCTGATGGGAAGCAGAATAGTACAATATGATGACCAAATCTCATCCTATTGGATCTGGAGTTTCCAGGTGTTGAAATGAGCAAAGAAGTAATTTTTGGACATCTCAGAAAGAACAGCTTCCTCCTTAAAGACTTGACATTAGGAAGTTGACGTCCCACCTTTGTCTCCCAGAAAGATGTCTGTCCCACTAATCAGGGATGGTTCTATGTAAACAAGTGAGGATCTCTTTAACAAATGGGGGAAAGGACTCCATTAATATGTTTTATGGCAGCCTTGTAAGGTTAGTATAGCTGAAAACAATTGCTGTTCAATAAGGACAGGTGGTGTTACATGTTTCAAAAGAGGTCATTCGCAACTGAATTAGCAGCTTGCTCACAAGAAATTAACTGTTGCACAAAATAGAGGGATGGTGTGGTTTGCAGTGAGCTGTGCCACTGGGCTTTTCAACATTGGTTAGTCCATCTAAAGAATAAAGAATTTGATCATTTTCCAGCCTGACTCTGAAGGCATTTTGATGTTTTAAAATAGATTTTTACAAATGCTTGTACATAGTTATATGTGCATTTTTATGGTAATTGTGCATATTAACCGCCAAATAACTGACTTGCAATAATTGTAATAACAGGGAGCACCAATTATGTGGACACATTTTTTCCCAATCACATTTTTAAAGAGGGGGCAGTAATAATGATTATTAGGTAGGGTCACATCAATGGTTGACCTTTTTTAATGTTGGATGCTAACAGGTTCTTCAGTTCAATGCACTATATTTCCAGTTTGTACTGTTCATAAAACTTCAGATATGAAGACTGAGAGACCTGGAGATTCTGAGTATAATGATAAAAAGTATTTCTCTAGTGTGCAGCGTTGCTATTGTATTTTTCCTTTTAAGTAAATTATGCTAAATGGTCCTATATATCCAAAGCATGGAGCTGGGCATCCGCATTTTCTTGAAATCACCAAAGAGATCTAAGGAGAGATCCCGCCCTCTCCTCCCCAGTCTATGGCATTAGTCAGTTGGGTACAAACATCATAATCTGAGCACTTGGGCCCAAGGTCAGACCCTAATGTCCAAAACTGAATAACTAGGCTGGGTGCTAGGGAAATGCACAGGGAGAAGCAAAAGGAAACAGGGCCCAAACACATACACCCATCACAGGCACATATTTTCAGATTTGCTTTTACCACATGAACACAATCTTAGATCATGTTTCATAACCCTATCTGCCCTGTGCTACACATTATACTTAAATGGTAGTTATGGTCTTAAATCATTTCCAAACAGACTAAACAAAATATGATCTTGTTGAGCGGGAACAGTTCAATTGTGAGGAATTTTCCTGCCTAATATGAGTATTAGCCTTAATAGCCATGCAAGTTTGTCTCTCTGAGAGATTTTTTCCCCCCCCTGAATGAAAAGTATAAGGTCTAACAGCGGATTAAGATAAACTGCAAATGATGTGCTGGTTCTTACAGGGAATAATTTACTCATCTGTATTTTTTTTAAATATTAAAATGGAAGCTCTTCTTTGAGAGCTTGTTCATGTCTATTCCAGTGAGGTGTGTGTGCACCATGTGCACTGTCATCAGAAACTTTTTCCCTTAGCAGCACCGATTGGGCCAGCCAGAGAGCCCCCTGGAGTGGGGCCAGTATAGCATGCTAAATATGACCCTTCAGGCCTGACTGTCCCACTGTTCCTTTTCACTGTCAGTGGTGGTTTTGGAACACTGTTCAATTGTTCGCAAGTGCACCCTAGCCTAGTTGTTCTAGCTTAGTAGGTAGTTTATTAATAGTTAGTAATTTGCTGTTAGTGACTTTAGTTAGTAGGGTGATAGTTCATTCATTGCTACCCACTCAAGGAGGTGTATTATGCCACACGCCCAGGGTTTTAAGGCTTGTGGTTCATACTATAAGCCTAAGCTTAATAGTGACCCCCACAACTCATGTCTGCATTGCTTGGGGGAAGCTTATTAGCAAGAATTGCAAATCATTTATGCCCTTATACAAAGAAAGAATGGGACTTTCGCTTGAGGCAATTGCTAATGAAAGCTGCACTCAGACCAGTAAGACCTGAGCAAAGGTCTCTGCTAAGGACCTGCAGCACTGAAAATACCTGGCAGCCCCCAAGAGAGGGGAAAGGGGTTGCTCCTCTTACAAGTCTGTTAAGCCCTCCTACAGGCCAGAGGCCCTCCAAGCAAAGGGAAGCGACACCGTTGACTCCATTAGCTCAGGCACAGTTCAGTGAGCGGCTCCCCCATGACGGTGAAGAAGTGGAGTCAGTGAAGCCTACAATGCCTCATACTTTTGAGGCTGCCAGAGTCTTAATTGAGCTGATGACACCTTTGCCATGAACAGATGTCCCTAGACCTCTGGCACTGGCCAGGCACCTGGCCTTGCAAGGGAAGCCTTCTGTGATGTGATGTGCTCCCCGTCTCTGGACTGCACTGGTCAAGGCACTGCTCTGACTTGCCCGAATCCTGGTACCACTCACTAGTGCCAGCAGTGCCTTAAGCATGCAAGACACGAAATTCAGTGCTCCCCAGCACTGAATTATTGGTGCCCATTCCCATTGGGCTCTGACGTGTGACACTGTTTGCCAGACACTCTCCTGGCACTGAGGGACAGGCATTGTTCCTGATTGAGTAGCAATCATTGGACTTTACCTTCTCCCACCAGTACAGAGCTCCTCCACCACTTGTGCAGAGTTCCCTGGCTGAATACCATAGAGTTCCAGTGCTCACACCAGGTTCAGCCGATCCTTTTAGACAACAGAAAACTGTACACTAGGGTCACATACTTCACTAAGTGGAAAAGATGCACACCACATGCTGGTGTACCCAATGTTAGATAGTGCCAATCCAGGCACCTATCCCATCCTTTCTGGACTATTTACTACATTTGGATGAGCAGGAGTTAGCTTTATAATCTAACAACTAGTGGTCACTGTGGGGAGTTTGGTCAATCAGCATTCGTAAACCCCATGATTGTGTACTTCCTCAAGGGGTTGGAAAAGATCTACCCCCAGATGCAGCCATCTCTCCCTACAAGGGACCTTAACTTAGTCCTGTCCAAGCTCATGTACTTACCCTTTGAGCCCTGGGCCACTTCTTGCTCCTCTGCCTCTTGTGGCTTTTCTAGTGTCAATTACATCTGCCAGAAAGGTATCAGGGCTGAGACCACTCATATCCTAGTCCCCTTATACCATATTTCACGAGGATAAGGTGCAGCTCTGACCTTACCCAGTCTTCCTACACAAAGTGATCTCTCAGTTCCGCATGGATCAGGATATATTTCTTCCAGTGTTTTATCCAAAGCCAGATGCCAATGCACAGCAGTAACAGCTGCACTCTCTCTGGATGTCCATTGAGCTCTAACCTTCCATATTGATTATCCTTCAGGAAATCATCCCAACTGTTTGTGGCCCTCATTGACCATATGAAGGGCCTCCCTGTTTCTCCTCAGCATATCTCTTTGTGGATTACAGCCTGTATCCATAAGTGCTATAAACTAGTTGGTACCCCAGAGCCGTTGATCATGGCCCATTCCACAAAGGCTCAAATCTTTTCGACAGCTTGCTTAGCCCAAGTCCCTACTCATAATGTATACAGGGCTGTGACCTGGTCTTCAATCCATACTTTCACAGCTCATTATGCCATTGACCAACAGTCAAGAAATGACGCTGCTGTAGATGGAGCAGTCCTACAGTCCATAATGCATTAATTCCAATCCCATCTCCTTGGAGTAGCTTGGGAGTCATCTAATTGGAATCAACATAATCAAGCACCGGAAGAAATAAAAACAGTTGCTCAGCTCTCATAATAATCCATTCCCTCCTTTCCCTCTATTGGAATAGCTGGCAAGAAGGCATTGAGGAGCAGTCAGGTCAACAGGGTTATATGTACAGTAAAATCCCAATAGTCTGGCATCCAATAGTCCGGCACTCCTGATAGTCCAGCATCAAAATGGCAAGAGCCTAGTGAGTGAGCTTCGGCAAAAAATGAGTCACAAGGTAACAGCGGCAGCAGCTGAACTGAGCAAAAAGGGTAAAAAAGGCTTTAAAAAACTAAAACATTACAGTATACTGTATGTACAATAAAAAGGATTAAGAACACTTTATATACAGTATATAATGTATACAGTATATATATATATATATCCAGTTTATAGTACCTCCTGATAGTTCAGCATACTTGATAATCCGGCACCACCTAAGTCCTATAGGTTCCGGATTATCAGAAGACTACTGTAGTGAGCTGTACCAGTACTACACCAGGGAGCTAGCTCCCTGGTGATCTGATGGGTGCTGCTGGGGGAAAAGTTTACAACATCCATGCATGTGACACGCACACACCTAATTGGAATGCATGTGAACAGCACATCTCGAAGAACAATAGTTATGAAAGGTGAGTAACCTTTTATCCCCCCAAGTGAATTTGCTAAATGACTGTAGCCAAGAATGTCTCTCTTTGGCCAATTTCCTCTCTGTTCCTTTGCCTTTCTGGCACATCCCAGATGAAATAGTTGAGGTTGGGCAAGAGATATGCCTTGTGAATTTGGGTTTAATGAACATGAAAAGTACAAAACAGACAGTTTTGGCAGATGTCATTGTAGCTCTCTAAAATGTTTGTTTTTCTCGTATGAAGGCTGCATAGAGGGTAGAAATGTTGTGTGAATTTGTCTCTCACTCCCTATTTATATGATCAATGTTAGGTAAGTTGTTTATAGCAGAATTAATGGCATTGTTTATATAGTATTTGTCTTTAAAAATGAAACTCACCGCATTTTCAGGTTGCTTCTTTTTTCTACAGTATAATCAGAATTGAACCAAAATCTGTTGAGCATGTGTCCGATATTCCAGACCTTATTCGAGTTCACTACGTGTATGAAATATAGCAATATGTGGAAACACTTATACAAACTTTGGTCACAAAGTCATATTTTTTTCCTCATCATAACTTTCCTTTCTGCCAAGACATTTTTGGCAGGTTTTAAAAGGTTCACTCTATTAAAAATGTTATAGACCAAATGCTTTTTAGAAACTTTATTGGGGGCACTACTTAAAGAAAGAAAGGAGTGGGCACTAAAAGAATTTTAGCAAAACTTCTTTGCATAGAGAATAGTAAAATACTTACGGCAACAATATAAGTGACTAGGACAGCAATTTTTTAAAAAAGGAATATTGAAAGCATATACTGTATAAGGAAAAAAATTAAACAGGTACAATTATTTCAGAAGAAAGGAAGAGCTATAACAGACTGGTATCCCAGCTTTCTTGTATTTTTAACATTTCCCCACTTCCTGAGGCACTTATATCCTGCACACAAAAATGTACAGTACAGTATAACATCTCAGACTAATATGCTTGTGTTTTTAATTGTTGATGACACTGACTATTCTTGAAAAATAGCAAAATACTGTATTAGTGGCTGCAATAATCCACATGTTTCCTTGTGGTTTATCTTTCCAATAACATGGCATTCTGATCTAAACTGGTTTCCAAAATATTCATATGCTAATGTTTAAATGACACGGTCTTGCTTTAAAAGAAGAATTAACCAAATTTGATCCATATTTTTATATATATTTTTGCAGAATAAGAATTTACTCCTTGAGAAGATAAAGGGTGAACCAACAAGAAGAAAAAGGGTAATTGTCAGAATTCAACTTGTTTTAATTTTAATTCTCTGTAGAGCTGCTGAAGATTAAAAAGGTAAAATCATATTGCTGAAATGAAGAATCTGACTAATATGTCTGCATTGTAACTTAGAATACTACTTGAAGTCAAGACATTGCTGTGGTAAACTACAGTGTCTGGTTTAATAAAAATCCAACAAATCTAAGTGTTATGATTCTGTCGCAGTGAGCTGCATTCAGAAGATGTATTCAAGTGAAAACCTTTCATGTACAATCCTCAAAATTATATTAACTGGCTTTTTAAATATCTTTTATTTTGCCTAGGAAATGATTTTGGGTAACATGGATAATGGCTCTTTCAAATTGATTTAAAAAAATAGTTCTCCATAACAGATATGTGTAAAATCCATTAGCAATGCTAGATCCCTATAGAAAGTATTCTGCCTTCAGCTGCCTATGTCAACATGCCATAAAGGTGTAAATCACAGCAGATTTTGGCCCCATAATTAGTGTTGTTCCATTAGTTTCAGTGAATGTACTACTGATTTACTGCAGGTGTGAAAAGAGAATTAGGAGTATTATTCTGCATCTAGCTGTGTCACGAACACAACAGGAGGGATTCTTCTCTTGATGACTTAACACAAAGTGTCCAGTGATCACACAGAATTTTTGCACCCTCCATCTTGCTAATCGTGACTTCTCTCACTGCTCCTGTCCCTTCCTCTGTCTAAGAAAAGGTATTTGTCATTCAACTTTGTTGCTGCCGCATTTCTTAGTAAGAAGAAAATTGGACTTTGAAATTTAAAGTGCAGTGCCACACTGAAAAGTGACTGTTGTAAAATACAGCTTCAGGCTTCCATATTTATTATAAAATGAGCAGTTCTGTTTTGGAATAACTGAAGCAGAAAATAAATCCTACCCTGCCATTTAAACCAGGAAGCTGGAAGTCTAACTGAGTTCTTTCACGAACAGGTGAGTGCTAACAGGAAGTTTAGAGAGGGTTTTCTCCAGAAGCCACTGAGATACACTCTCCATTCTTTAAAATCTTTTTGCTACGCTCTTGCCCTTCAAGGAGGCATTAAATAACATCTGAGGAATCTCTCTGAAGGAAGCCAGGTATGGATAGTGATAGGTCTGCTGTTGTTACCTGCACAGCATATGCTGTGTTTGTCTTCCTCCCGGAAGAAAGAATGGATTTCATCTGCACGAAGTGCAAGCTGGTCGACATTTTGGAAGAAAAAATTAGAGAACTGGAGGCCCAAGTGTTGACCCTACGCTCGATCAGAGAAGATGAAGACTTCTTCGATAGAAGGCAACGTTTAATCCTTCAAGCACGGCAGGCAGAGGAGCCAGAGTCGGCAGTACATGACCAAGAACAGAACTGGCAGCATGTAACTTCTAGAAGGGGAAAAAGGCCAACACGGGAATCCCCCAGTGCTATAGAGGTAAGTAATCGCTTTCAAGCTGTCTCCACAGGCTCTGCAGTGCTGAAAGCTTTGGAAGGGACCTCACAAGGAAGAAACCAGAAGGGAACACCATCTACTGGAAGGCATGGGATGCGTAGTCCTAGGGATGGGGTTCCACGGCCACCACCCCCAAAAGAAAACGACGGGTGGTGGTGGTCGGGGACTCCCTCCTAAGAGGGACTGAGCCATCCCTCTGCTGTCCGGACTTGGAATCTTGAGAGGTATGCTGCTTACCGGGAGCTTGCATTCAGGATGTCACTGAGAGGCTTACCAAGCTGATCAAACCTTCGGATCGCTACCCCTTCCTGCTTCTCCACGTGGGAACTAATGATACGGCCAAGAATGACCTTGAGTGGGTTACTGCGGATTATGTAGCGCTGGGAAGAAGGATCCAAGAATTCGGAGCGCAAGTGGTGTTCTTGTACATCCTCCCTGTTGAAGGGAAAGGACTGGGCTGGGATCGTCGAATTGAGGACGTAAATGCGTGGTTGCGCAGGTGGTGTCGCAGAGAGGGCTTTGGTTTCTTCGACCATGGGACTCTGTTCCAGGTGCAAGGATTGTTAGGAAGAGATGGGATCCAGGCTTGCAAACCTAGCGAGGAGGGCTTTAAACTAGGTTCGTTCGGGGACAGTGACCAAAACCCTGAGGGGAGTAGGAAAGTTGGATACCGGGAAGAAATGCAAAGAGGAACGAGCAAGAAAGGAGAACCCCTGATTCGAATGGAGAAGATAGGGCGATCAACTGGTTACCTGAAGTGTTTGTACACTAATGCGAGAAGCCTGGGCAACAAACAGGAAGAACTGGAGGCCCTGGCCCAGTCCAAGAAATATGATTTAATTGGGATAACAGAGACTTGGTGGGATGACTCGCATGACTGGAGTGTTGTCATGGAAGGGTATAGACTGTTCTGGAAGAACAGGCAGGGGAGAAAAGGAGGAGCACTACGTAAGAGAGCACTACGATTGCTCTGAACTCCAGTATAAAGAGGGAGAAAAACCTGTTGAGAGTCTATGGGTTAAGTTTAAAGGAGCAAACAACAGCATTGATATTGTGGTTGGTGTCTGCTACAGGCCACCGAATCAGGTGGATGAGGTGGATGAGGCTTTCTTCGGACAACTAAGCGAAGCTTCCAGATCGCAGGCCCTGGTTCTCATGGGGGACTTTAATCACCCTGACATCTGTTGGGAAACCAATACGGCAGTACACAGGCAATCCAGGAAGTTTTTGGAGAATGTTGGGGATAACTTCTTGGTACAAGTGCTGAAGGATCCGACCAGGGGCCGTGCACAGCTTGACCTTCTCCTCACAAACAGGGAGGAACTAATAGGGGACGTAGAGGTGGGTGACAACCTGGGAAGCAGTGATCATGAGATGGTAGATTTCAGGATCCTGACCAAAGGAAGAAAAGAGAGTAGTAAAATACACACCTTGGACTTCAAAAAAGCAGATTTTGACTCCCTCAGAGATCTGATGGAAAGAATCCCCTGGGATGTTAACATGAAGGGGAAAGGAGTCCAGGACAGCTGGCAGTATTTTAAAGAAGCCTTATTGAAGGCACAAAAAGAAACCATCCCGACACGTAGCAAGAGAGGCAAACCTGGTAGGAGACCGGATTGGCTTACAGGGGAAATCCTTGGTGTACTTAAGCACAAAAAGGAAGCTTACAGAAAGTGGAAACTTGGACAAATGACTAGGGAGGAGCTTAAATGTATAGTTCGAGAATGCCGGGGGGTTATCAGGAAGGCGAAAGCGCAAATGGAGTTGCGACTGGCTAAGGATGTGAAGGATAACAAGAAAGGTTTCTACAGGCATGTCAACAAGAAGAAGGTGATCAGAGAGGGTGTGCAGTCCCTAATGGATGAAGGAGGTAACCTAGTGACAGAGGATGTGGGGAAAGCTGAAGTACTCAATGCTTTCTTTGCCTCTGTATTCACGGACAAGGTCGGCTCCTGGACTTCTGTGCTAAGCGACGCAAGATGGGAAGAAGATGGACAGCCCTTGGTGGGTAAAGAACAGGTTAGGAACTATTTAGAAAAACTAAACGTACACAAATCCATGGGTCCAGACTTAATGCACCCAAGGGTACTGAAGGAGTTGGCAAATGTCATTGAGGAGCCTTTGGCCATTATCTTTGAAAAGTCGTGGAGATCGGGCGAAATCCCGGATGATTGGAAAAAGGCAAATGTAGTGCCCATCTTCAAAAAAGGGAAGAAGGACGATCCAGGGAACTATAGGCCGGTCAGTCTTACCTCGGTTCCTGGAAAAATCATGGAAGGGATCATAAAGGAGTCCATTTTGAGACACTTGAATGAGAGGAAAGTGATCAGGAATAGTCAGCATGGATTCACAAAGGGCAAGTCGTGCTTGACCAATCTGATTAGCTTCTATGATGAGGTAACTGGCTCAGTGGACATGGGAAAGTCAGTGGATGTTATATACCTTGACTTTAGCAAGGCTTTTGATACGGTCTCCCACAATATTCTTGCCAGCAAGTTAAGGGAATGCGGATTGGATAAATGGACGGTAAGATGGATAGAAAGATGGCTAGAAGGCCGGGCCCAGCGGGTAGTGATCAACGGTTCGATGTCAGGATGGAGGTCGGTTTCTAGTGGAGTGCCCCAAGGTTCGGTTCTAGGACCGGTTTTGTTCAATATCTTTATTAATGACCTGGAGATGGATTGCACCCTCAGCAAGTTTGCGGATGACACTAAGCTGGGGGGAGAGGTAGATACGCTTAAGGGCAGAGATAGGGTCCAGAGTGACTTAGACAAATTGGTGGATTGGGCCACTAGAAATCTGATGAGGTTCAACAAGGACAAGTGTAGAGTCCTGCACTTGGGACGGAAGAATCCCAAGCATAGTTACAAGCTGGTGGCCAACCAGTTAAGTAGTAGTTCTGCAGAAAAGGACCTAGAGGTTACAGTGGATGAGAAGCTGGATATGATTCAACAGTGGG